CAGATATCAGTGGAGAATATTGGAGAACTGTCATATAAAGGGTCTTTTTTGAAAATACAAAAATGGCTGCAAAACCTAAGGCGGGGTAAGGAAGTCTGGCACCAGAATCTACACCACTGAGATTGATGCAAGAAACCCTTTCATTTTTTATTAATAAAAGAATATTTTGAGAAGCTCATGAGCACTATGCTTAGCCAACAGATAGCCCATTTTGATACAAAATTTGATAAAATGAAGTCTGATATTTCAGCTCTGAAAATTAAAGTGTCTGACCTCTCCAAACAACAGGAGGACAAGAGTTTACAACTGGAGCAATTGAAAGAGGATATAACACAACAATATCAAGAAATACAGAAGACAGCGAGATTAGCAAAGAATATGGAGAAAAAAGGAATAGAACTTTTGAAGGACTTAGGAAAAGTTGAAACCAGACAAAACCAACATGAAACACCTATGACTCAAATACAGAATGTAAAGAATATGGAGAAAAAAGGAATAGAACTTTAGAAGGACTTTGGAAAAGTTGAAACCAGTTGAAACCAACATGAAGCACCAATGACACAAATCCAGATGGAGAACGCATCACATATTCTGAGGATACAGAATGTACCAGAAACTCAAAATGAAGACCTCTTAGAAGCTGCATCTGATTTACTATCAGACTGGGTGAATTGTGAGAAGGATGAAATTAAGTGGACTATAGATGCAGCCAAAAGAACATCCTCGGTATTTATTTTAAAAAATCATCTCCCAAGGGAGGTACAAATTAGATTCATTAAAACCACATATAGAGACAAAATTCTGAAAGCAACGCAAGATAAGCAATATATAAGAGAAGGAAGGAATCTGAAGACATTGAAACATAACCCTTGGGAAATAAAAAAATAGAAGGAAAATGTATGAGAGTGGATAAAGACTATTAGCTACATAATCAATAATTAGAATAACAATATATCTATCTGAATTTCATTTTTCCCTCTCGCTTACTATTTATACTTCTTTCAGATATATGGAACTATTACTAGAAGAGAATGTACAGTATAGAATTACTATGAAAAATATTGATCTATAATGTATCCGTTCAAATCCACCCCCTCCAAAGGTACCCCTATCCCAGCTGCCCCTTACCTTACCCTACATTTATAAGGAAAATAAAAAATATTTAAGAGTCAAAATGAAGTTCGAAGGGGCCATAAAGTCCAATCCTCTGCTCAATGCAGGAATACAATCCAGCTTCACTTTTCTATGATTGTATAATATGCCAAGAGTCAAAACGAAACTGAACCTTCATTCAGTCCAAGAGTTTCCAGTTTCAGAAAACCCCCAAAATCCTTTGAAAAAAATTAATATTTTAGTGGGCCTAGTTTCTGATGAGTTTACACTGACCTCAACATGTAGGGTAAATTCAAAGGAATTGACACCATCTGTAGCAGCAAGCAGGATATAATCCTGAGGGATTTCTGAACCATCATGGCGATATCTATGGAAATAAAATTCTGAACTTATTACAGATGTCTGTGTTACTATGATGACACTACAAAGTTCTCACAGAATTCAATAGCTACCAAATAAATAAATAACCATTTGCTGCCCCTTCATTATCAGCCCAAATATGATGCCTGAGGCAACTACCTCACTCTGCCTGATAGCAAAGCCAGCCTTTCTCCTTTAAATTTGTAACCCTTTTATTTTCCTACCAGATAGAAAAATCCATTAAGATGAGAAAGATATAAAAGCTATACAGCATCTCAAAGGTCTGCATCTGGAACCATCCAGAACCTACATCAATAATGTATTTGCCTCTCACCTGACTTTGGACATGTGCAGGTCTTCACAGGTCAGCCAATGACCTTGACTCACAGGAATTCCATCGACTTCAACAGACCCATGGAGAGGTGCCTTTAGAAGATGGAAGTGAATGTCTTCTAGTCTGGTGTCTCTGTCAGAAATCAAAATGTGGTCCTCTGTAATAGTACACAGGCCTCCTTCCTGCACACTAAGGTTACTTGTAAGCACCTACACAAGAAGAAATGGAAAACAGTTCCAGTGTCCTCTCAAATGATGTTTCTGCTTGCCCTTTATAAAATAAAATTTCCATTTTGTACATTGCTGAATAAACCCCAAGGCTGAAAAAGAAAAGGAACCACCTGCATGATTACCCCTGGGTAAATATTTACTCAGTTGTCTGTAAGTCAGGCTTTGGGAATTCCAGACTTTCTTCTAAAATGTTGAGACGAAATAAGCTAAAGTAATCAAAAGATTTTGCAAAACAATATTTTATTTTCCTATCCATTGTGAAATCTGCCACCACGCTGCTATGTTTAAGGTTGCTGAGCTTTCAGAATGACAAACAGGGCATAACACAATTTGGGCTGCATTCTTAGACCCACATACCTGAGAATAAGTTTTACTGAACTTGATTTACTTCTTGACAGTTATAGTGCTGTCAAACTGTATCTGATGGTTTTCAGCCAAACTGTCTATAGGATCAATGCTTATTTGAGGAGGGGAGAGGGGTGTGTGGAATTATTTGGCCTACAATTCTCAGAATCCCTCAGGCAGGCTGGCTGGTATAGAGTTGTCTCCATCAAAATAACTTTTCTGAACTCTGATGGAGGCAGTGCGTGGTCTACAGTGAAAAATACAAACTCAGATCATATTAATTTCGATCTGATCTGAGTTATTATTTTTCACTGGAGGCCATTGTCATATTATGGAATAGAAAACACACCAGTAGGGTGTGACTAATGACACTGCATATTTTACGAAACAAACTGGGTTTGCACCAAAGTGTTAGTGTGAGGGCTATGGAGGTATCTGCTGGAAAGAACCAGTGAGGAAGCAAGGATGTCTAACTTTGTCTGATCAATCTCCCTCCCCACCCTCAATTCTCCCTGTGTCCCCATCAACCAAACTCTGAGACTGGAAAAATCTGAGCTGTAATCAAAACTGCATCGGTGTGTGAGCATCCAACATTTTTAAAAGAAGACCACAAAATGGCAGGTATAGGAAGAGTGAAGCTTTTCTACTTCCCCCTGCCAGTTTCCCCTACAAATGCTCTGCCCCATCAGGGTGTTCACATCAGACAAAAAACCCAGGCTTTGGAAAGTCAGGTTTTCACAGAAGATGTGGTTCTGTTCTGAGGCACTATGAAACACAACAAGAATGGTGGCATCATTTCTAATAGGTAAAGAAATGTTATTAATGCTAGGATAAAAAAGTTGAGACAACTTATGAAGAATAAAAGAATCTAACATTAGCTTTCTTCTCTCAGCTAAGTTCCTATCTGGACAATGCATAACCAATTATTTTCTTCTGTTTCTGTTAGCATCATAATCTTACCTCTGGAGCTTGATTATCCACTGGGAGAACAGTAATGTTAAAACAGATATCACGCAAAGTCCCACCATGTTGATTGCTGACTGAGAAAATGAACTGGATAAACTGAGGCTCTGGACCAATATCTTCCAAAGGTGGCATGTAGGCAATTTTCATGTGGTTTATAGCATGCTGCGGGTGCAAAATAATCAATCAGTCACACAAACAAAATGCAACAAGTATGTTCCTCCAATAAATAAATAAAAACTATTGAATAACTTCAGTTTTGCAGATGCATCACCAAAATTTCTATTATAAGTACACATCAGAGTAGCTAAATCTTTAACCCAGGGGTAGGCAGGTATGACCTTCTGGATGTTGTAGGGCTGCAGTTCCCAGTACTCTCCACCTTTGGCTATGGTGGCCAAGGTTGATAGGAACTGTTTTCCAACATTCTAATAGCCGTAGTTGCCCCTTTCTGCTTTAAACCACCAATGATCCGATCCATGCTTATATTGGTTGTTGTGGGCTTTTCGGGCTCTTTGGCCGTGTTCTGAAGATTGTTCTTCCTGACATTTTGCCAGTCTCTGTGGCCGGCATCTTCAGAACATGGCCAAAGAGCCCGAAAAACCCACAACAACCATTAGATCCTGGCCATGAAAGCCTTCACGAATACATGCTTATATTCCTACGGTTTATCTTACCAAAGGCAAAAAAGCAGAATTTTCACGCATACCACAGAAAGCAATTATGACCTGTCACCCCTTCATTTGTGTACTACTCACTGATTATAGGGAATGGTTGGTGGCAGCTTAGTTAACGTGTGGCAGATCCCAGTAGGTCTGGGTTTGTCACACTACTCACTGGTCTAAATTCAGAATTATTCAAGAGCAGCAAAAGCCCCTGCTATCAGAGTTGGTCTGAACCCCACTGCATACTGTGTGTGAAATGAGGTACGTATGACCCTTGTACCTATCTATCAGCATAATGGACAGAGTGCGACCCTCCAGATGTAGGCAGGCTATGAATCCCATCAGCCCTGGCCAGCATAGATAACAGTGGCTTGAATGACATTAGTGGTAGTCCAACAATATCTGGAGGGCTACACTTTGCCCACAGTTGATGTAGAAGGGCGGCGCTACTGGGTGAAAGGATATCTTGCTTTTAGGTTGGCTTTATGCTTGATAACAAACCTGAGTAAATGATCTCAATGATGGCATTGCAGGATCCTTGATCAGCTTTGGAATACTGTCTACCATAAACAATTTTCCAGCATCTGTGTGACTGCACAAAAAGGAATGGTCATACATACAGGCAGAATTATGTAACAAAATTAGAAACCCATTTACAGAATCAATTCCCACACCGCAGACTGCGCGGAGATTGTTGTCAAGTGCCTTCAGTGTTTTAGTCAGCTTTAAAGTGCCACAAGGCATTGGTTTTTTTGTATCACTGGTGTATTTTGTTATGCTTTGTAATGGAGACTGAAATCAAATATGCAAAACGAGGCATACCAGGGTCCCTCGGGCTCTGTTTTGTCTCCTATGTTATTTAACATCTACATGAAACTGCTGGGATAAATTATCCAGAGTTTGGGATCTGGTGTCACCAGGACGCGGATGACACCCAGCTCTATCCTTGCCATCTAAATCTGAGGAATCTGTTTTGGCTGGATGGGGATGAATAAACTGAAACTTAATCCAGATAAGTCATAGGTGCTCCTGGTCAGTTGAAAGTCAGATCAAGGAACAGGGATTCAGCCTGTGCTGGATGGGGTTTCACTCTCTCTGAAAACACAGGTGGGCAGCATTTGCAGAATTAAAATGCATTCGTTCCTGGAGAGGTCTGCTGGCCACAGTGACACATGCTTTAGTGACCTTCTGGCTGGATTATTGTAACACACTCTGTATGGGGCTGCCTCTGGAAAGCATCCAGAAACTTCAGCAGGTCCAAAACACTGCAGCCAGATTGTTAACTGGGGCTGCTTACAGGGATCACATAACCCATTACAGCAGCTCCACTGGCTGTTGATCCATTTCTGGGCACAATTCAAAGTGCTGGTTCTAACCTATAAAGCCCTAAATGTCTTGGGTCCAAGCGATCTCAAGAACCATGTCTCCCATTATGAGCCTGACTGGGTGTTTAGATTGTTCAAAGAGGTCTTTCTCTTGGTTCCACCACCTTCTCGGATCTGTTTGGTGGGAACACAGGAGAGGGCCTTCTTTGTTGCTGTTCCCAGACTCTGGAACTGTCTCCCACAGGAGGCCAAGGTGGCTCCATCTTTGCTGTCCTTCTTGTAGTTGTTGTTTAGTCATTAAGTCGTGTCCGACTCTTCGTGACCCCATGGACCAGAGCACGCCAAGCCCTCCTATCTTCTATTGCCTCCCGGAGTTGGGTCAAATTCATGTTGGTCACTTCAATGACACTGTCCAAACATCTCGTCCTCTGTCATCCTCTGCTCCTCTTGCCCTCACATTTTTCCAACATCAGGGTCATTTCCAGGGAGTCTTCTCTTCTCAGGAGATGGCTAAAGTATTAGAGCCTCAGCTTCAAGATCTGTCCTTCCAGTGAACACTCAGGGTTGATTTCCTCAGGGTTGATACTAGTTTAAGATGCAATTATTACCCAGACATTACCTTTCTGGCATAAAAAGAGTGAAAAGAAAAACTGAAAGTGCAGAAATTAGGGAGGTGAGAAGTACAGCCACCATCAACGCCCTCTGATAGAAGCACTGTTTGACAGAATATATATTCCTATCTGAGATGGCAACATGTCATTCTTTCAGCAGATGTTTCTGATGCCCAAAGTATTGGAGCCTCAGTTTCAGGATCTGTCCTTCCAGTGAGCACTCAGGGTTGATTTCCTTCAAAATGGAGGCTGTCCTTCTACAAGCAGGCAAATACCTTTCTCTTCAGGCAAGCTTTCCCTCAGTGACTGGCTGTCTGAGTTGGGGTTTTAAATAAATGACTGTACTTTACTGCTTTGAATGTGTTTTGGCATTGCTTTTGTTTACCTTTTTGTAGTGTGGTATTTGTTTGGTCCTTTTTAGTATTTATATAGTTACTGTTTTTTAGCTTCAAACATTGTCTTTTAATAATGTATATGTATTAAATGTAAACGTATTAAAACAAGCAAGCAAGGCCATGAGGACAGGAAAATGATAAAAACTAGCCATAGCAAAGCTGTGACTGGAAGAAGTCAACCTGTGGACAATGAACAGCAAGCAGGAAACCTGGCTTCATGCAGATTCGATCCTTGAAAACAACTGTAACTGCAGAGACTCAAAATACAAATGCTAGTCCTTCAATAACTTGGCTGTGCAATATGCACTGAAAACACACCCTTTTCTTTTTGAGGTATATATATGTTCTACCCAGACTTACTCAGGCAAAGAAGAAAAGAAAGGGGGAGAAGTTATGGTATAAATGAGCTCCCTTTCCTGTGCTTCTGTGTCTGTGAAATCAAGGTGTTTCTTTGTTAGATGGGCAATCTCTGTTTCCTTGACAGTTAGATGCCGGCTCACACCTGAAACTTCTTTGGGAAGCTGATCATTCACAGGAATTATGTGCACTCTTACCACCTAAAGAAAAGATTTAGGAAAAAAACACAATATGCTGAAGAACACACACAAACATATTGCCAAAAATATTGCAGCTTAAAATGTGACACCAGCATTTACAACAATCTATCTGAGGACAACAGCCCTCTAGCATCTACTTGGAAGAAACATAAATCAAGGACAAATAATGACGTATTCCAGATATGCCTCTGTTTGTTTGTTTGTTTGCTTGCTTGCTAAATTCACCACTTGAATAATTTGACGTGTTTTTCATGATGCATTACAAATGACACTTCATTTTCAAGATGTCTGTGCAAATGATTAGTAGATTTACACAAATAAATGGCACAGTTTGTTGTAATGCACATCGTCCTCACCAGCAGGACAATAGGAAGGCTAACACAGGAGGGGGGGTTTGTTGTATCTTGATTCTAACAGTTTATTAGCAGACTCCAGTGAGACCTTTCACATCATTCACATTGTCAAGATATCCTGCTGCCTGATAGTTTCTTGCAGCCTGCCTTTCTTCCCTTCTGTTTGTATTTTAGAATGTATTTTGTGATTTTTGCTTTACTTTTTGTAGAGTAGCAATTTGCTAGATGGAGCACTTTCCTTCTCTGCAGGAGCAGGAATTGATATTGCAATTGGACTGCAGCACTCATCACTCCTAGCCTGCATAGTCAGTAATATGGGATCATGGGAGCTGCAGACCCGTATCATCTTGTGGTGGACGGTTACAAATTGCCCCCTGGATATAGAGTCTTGAAACACTGGATAAATAAGTTTGTAACACTGATTATGTACTTGTCCCATCAGGTATCATTATAGGTATCATTACAGGGTATGTTTACTCTGAAGTAAATCCACTATGCCAATGGAAAGGTTTTGTGGCGTTCCCCTTCATGGCCTTGCAATATATTCAATAATGACATACTTGAGTTTCTGAACGATTGGGAGGATCGTGGCTATCACAGAGAACCAGCTCAATTGAATCTTCAAATATTTTTCCTCCTCCGTGATGATAGTAAATTCTCCCATTAAACAGATCTTTCTGAAGGAACTTAGTGATTGGATAACCTGTTAAAAGATAAACATAAAAACATGATCTCTCAACCATACTACAATTATAGACAAAAACTGCACCTTCATTTTGATATATCCTCGGATAATGGAAGGATGAAATTCTCTCAAGAGTTGTGTATTAACTGTAGTGAAATTCTATAGGCATTCGTCTTTTATGTTGTCAGGATACATACGTAAAGTCTTTATGTATGATTGGCTGGTTCTTTGAAAAGAAAAAAGAAAAATAGTGCTCAAAGTGTGAAATAAATTTTGAACTTAATTTTAGGCCTGAATTCAGCAGTAATTCCAACTAAATTAGACTCCCTGAATCAGTGGAATTTGCACAGGTATTGACTCACCATACACAAATTAATTCACTGGATTCAATTTGAATTAAAAATAGGATTTAAGGCTTTACCATGGGTGACATTACCATCTTATTTAAGGCCACTAGGAATTTAATCTTAAGAAAATGTTGTTGTCTATGCATGTAACCAATAAAATATGCAGCTCTGATCTGAACCTCTCAAGGCTGAAAAAGCCTAGAGCACTCTCCCCTCCCTTTTTGTCTTTGAGTCTCTCTATATATTAAAAAAGAGAAAACAATCTCAAAACAGATTTATATTTTGCACTTGAGATCCCCAGTGAATCCAAGGTCCAAGCCTTGCATCTCCTGGGCCCCTCCCCTTGATAAGCCTGCCCTAGACATTGCTGAAATGCTGCTTGTATTCTTTCAGCATCCAACATAAAAATAAGTTCATTTCATTCTGTTTACTTTGCAAACTGGCATGTCCCTGCCTGATTATTAACATCATCTTTGGATAGTCTTTTCTGGCCACTTTTCCCTACACAGATGTGATGGGTGGGTTACCAAAATATGATCCTTCTCATTAATGCCCTCTCTATGGAATGCCATCCTATCTGTTGGGCATTCTCCTTAGTAGCACTTATTTACCAAGCTAAGATATTCCCATTCCAGCAGGTACGCAGTCTTGATTCTTACATTTACCTGGTTTCATTTTTAAAATTTTACTGCTGACTCTCAACATTCCAATATTTTACCCTTTCAACACCATATCCTGATTTTGCTTTTATTATAGTTTGTGTATGTGCGTGTACACATGTGCATGCGTGCGCAGGTGAACATTTCAATACATGTAAATAATAACTTAGTATTCTTTGCTGTTAAAATACTCACTTCACAGAGAACCCAGTTTGGGAAACTATGCTATTAACTTAATTTTGGGATCAATGCATGATATTAGTGGTGTTTTGATTAGTATCTAAATCTGATGCTGACATAGCCTTGTGATTCCTTTAAACTAAGGGTGCACGTGGCCTAGGGACTTTGTGCAGCACCCAGGGGACCAAATATTTCCCCAGCACCTTGGCCTCATTAATACTCATGACCCTTAAATTTGAGCAATGTTATTGGACTATTTTTTTTCTCAGAATGGGAATAATTCTGCCATTTTTGAGAATCCCTGAAACCTTTCACTGCACCTCAGATTTACCTTTTGTGATCACTAGAGGGTGCGAGTGGGCATTTTCAGTTTCAAAAAAATCCACCAATACTTTTAGGGGGGAAAGAGCGTATGGCGGTTTCAGGAGGAAGTGTAGATGCACTTTTCCAAAGTCCAGGTGTGGAGTATGTGGTCCTGAAACCTATGGAGATTGCCTTGTTGTTCTTGTTGTTTAGTCGTTTAGTTGTGTCTGACTCTTCGTGACCCCATGGACCAGAGCACGCCAGGCCCTCCTGTCTTTCACTGCCTCCCAGAGTTGGGTCAAATTCATGTTGGTAGCTTTGATGACACTGTCCAACCATCTCATCCTCTGTTGTCCCCTTCTCCTCCTGCCTTCACACTTTCCTAACAGCGTTTTTTCCAGGGAGTCTTCTCTTCTCATGAGATGGCCAAAGTACTGGAGCCTCAGCTTCAGGATCTGTCCTTCCAGTGAGCACTCAGGGTTGATTTCCTTCAAAATGGATAGGTTTGTTCTCCATGCAGTCCTGGGGACTCTCAAGAATCTCCTCCAGCACCACAATTCAAAAGCATCAATTTTTCGGCAGTCAGCCTTCTTTATGGTCCAGCTCTCACTTCCATTCATCACTACTGGAAAAACCATAGCTTAAGACCTGGCTCTTTAGGCAGGCCTTCCCTCCTGTCACTACTTGATCTTTACTTCTCTATTTTTATTTTCCTGTCTTTATTTTTTCATTTGAGTTTTATCTTCCCATCTTGAATAATATTATTGTTGTTGTTTAAATTCTTGTATTAATTGTTTTTATGCTATTTTACTGTAAGCCACTCAGAGTAGATGTTGTCTGAATGGGCGGGGTATAAATTGAATAAATAAAATAATAAATAAATAAATAGCTTTCACTATGCGGACCTTTGTCAGCAAAGTGATGTCTCTGCTTTTTAAAATGCGGTCTAGGTTTGTCATCACTTTCCTCCCAAGGAGCAGGTGTCTTTTAATTTCGTGGCTGCTGTCACCATCTGCAGTTATCATGGAGCCCAAGAATGTAGAATCTGTCACTGCCTCCATATCTTCCACTTCTATTTCCCAGGAGGAGATGGGACCCGTGGCCATGGTCTTAGTTTTTTTGATGTTGAGCTTCAGACCTTTTTTTGTGCTCTCCTCTTTCACCCTCATTAAGAGGCTCTTTAATTCCTCATCAGCTTCTGCCATCAGAGTGGTATCATCTGCATATTTGAGGTTGTTGATATTTCTTCAAGCAATCTTGATTCCGGCTTGGGATTCATCCAGTCCTGCCTTTCGCATGATGTATTCTGCATATAAGTTAAATAAGCAGGGAGACAATACAGTGGTGCCCCGCTTGATGACAACCCCATTAGATGATGAAATTGCTTTACGATGACTTTTTGCGATTGCTATAGTGATCGCAAAACAATGTTTCACTTTATGTTGATTTGGTCCCTGCTTCGGGAACCGTTTTTTTGCTGGACGATTATTAAAAACAGCTGTTATGGGACACTATGAAAGTAGTTATGAGAGGAATTACTAAAAGAAAATCCTGTAAAATAAAAAAATTGAGAGAAGAAAATATAAGAAAAATAGAAAAATCATTAAAAGATCTAGAAAGTAAATATTTTATAGATAGGGATAATAAAAAATTACTAGAAATTCAAGCTAAAAGAAAAGAATTAGAAAATGTGGTGTTAGAAAGGGTCCAGAGGGACTTGATATATGCAAAGAGGAATTTTTTTGAATTTAGTAATAAAAATTCAAAGCTTTTAGCTAGAATAGTACAAACTAAAAGATCAAAAAATACAATTGGAGTGATTAAAGATGAAACAGAAAAGAATTGTAATCCAATGAAGGAAAAATTAAAGATATTACAGGAATTCTATCAAAATTTATATAAAGAGAACAGTGTATCCAAAGAAGATATAGAAAAATATATCAAAGAAAATGTGAAGAATAAACTAATAGAGAATGATAAAAGAGAATTAGAAAAAGAAATAAAGGATGAAGAAATTATATAATAAATTAAAAATGGCAAAATTCCAGGTTTTGATGGAATGGGACCAGAATATTATAAAACTTTTAAACCAATGTTGATTCCTAAGTTAAAAATGCTTTATAAGGAGATATTGGAAGGAGAAAAAATACCAGACTCTTGGAAACATTCATTGATAACTCTTATTCCAAAACCCAATAAAGATTTAACAGACCCAGGTTCATATAGACCCATTTCACCATTAAACCAAGATGCAAAAGTATTTACAGCAATACTTGCAAATACAATGAACAAGTTCATCACAAAATATATTAAAAAGGATCAGAATGGGTTTATAAAGGGAAGACAAATGGAAAATTTAACTAGGAGAGTTTTGAACATTATATATAATATAGAAAAAGATAAATTAAAGGCAGGTATCTTATGACTAGACATATTCAAGGCATTTGATTGTGTAGAAGGGCTGGGGTTTTGGAAAGACATTTAGGGGGAAAGGACCAATTATATGTGGAGAATACTTCTGCACAATAGTTAATGATGGGATGACAAAATGGATAGCTGTAGACTGAGGCACTAGACAAGGCTGCCCTCTTTCTCCAGTTCTGTTTTGTTTAATTATTGAAATGTTAGCAAATGTGATAAGGAATGATGATTTAATTGAAGGTATGGAGGAAGATAATAAAATAAAGATTAATTTATTTGCTGACAGTGAAAAACCTGTTAGAAAGTACAGATAGAATTAAAATTCATTTGGAAAAATTTGGAAAAATAACTGTAAATTGGCAAAAATCTGAAATAATGTTATTTAATCATAATAAATTTTTAAAAAGGTTTGTTGAGAAACATGACTTTATGATATGCAGATCAGTTACTTAGATATAGATTTAGTAAAAATATTCAAAAAATGAAGAAATATAATTATAATAAATTAAAGGAAGCAATTTAAAAGAAATTACAGGAATATAGTAATTTTAAACTTTATTGGTTTGGAAGGATTGCCTTGATAAAAAAGAAAAATTTTACCAATAATTCATTTTTTATTTAGAATGTTACCAATACAGTTAACAGAGGAGGATTTGAAATTTTGGCAAGGAATGATTAACAAATATTGTAATGAGACCTAGAATAAATAAAAAGTATTGGTATAAAACA